GTTTGTCCCTTTTGACCCACTCAGGTGTCTGTAGGTGCCCTCGATGGCTGTGTCCTACCAAGCACGCTCCTGCCAGAGGGACCTCAGAGCACACCAGCCACTTCCTTGCTGTTTGTCTTTACTGAGCAGCTTTACTGTCAGCTTTGGGTTGTAGCTTTGTTCCTGGATCTGCCATTGTTCCAGAGAAGCTTGGTATGGTATTGCCTTTTTCAAGACATAATCAGAATAAAAGTTTTTCTTCTGAACATTTCAGTGCTTTTCCTTTGGGCCAAGCTTCCCCAGGAAGAGACAGGACCTTGAGTCATTTCAGGTGGGTTTTTTTTAAGACCTATGTGAACTTTGAGCAGCTTTTTAGATCCATTGCAAAATTACTAGAATAAATACTAAATAAAAAAGCTGAAGGGCTCTGTTGTTTTAAAATAACTGTCTCTGAGTGTATCTGGCTCTGATGTTCTGGAAGTTGTGCCGTGCTCCTAAGTGCACAATTCACTGTAATGTGTTATTTTTAAAATTCCAAAGATGCTAAACTGTAAATTGGAGCTGCAGATCTTGGAAGTGGAAGCAGCGTCATTCTTCATCCAGGAGGAGTTTCTCAGCTTCACTGGTGGCAGCAATGGCTCTGGCCTGAAAGCTGTTGGAGCTGGTTATTCCTCTTTCTGGATTGAGACTTATAACTCCCTTTATATTTATAAAAAGTGGTTTCAAATTTGAGTCTGGATGCAGTCTCATTTGTTTCTTCTCTCTGTCATCTTCTGGCCTGAGAGTTTGTGCAGCTCCAAAGTGAACTGGTCCAACTGAGGAATAACCAGTGATAAAGTGCTTCCTCCTCTTCTCTCTGCCCTCTAAAGATGGATTATTTTCCCCAGCTGGTTGACTGCATTTGCTTGAGTGCTTTCATGCCTGAGCAGTGCTGGTGGCGGGGAGTAGATACGGGGCAGGATAAGCAGCTTGGGAGCGTTCAGGCCCAGGAGCTTCCTGAGCAGATGCTGTGTGGGGGATGACCACAACCTTTCGGTCATAAGTCCTTTGAGAGACTTTCTCAGTTTTAATTTTTAGTATGATTTGTATTAACCTTGTCTCTCAGTTTTTTCAGAGCTTTTAATACTTTGGTTCTTTCTGTTTGCTTTTTCTTTTAATCTATTTTTTTCATACACAGCCTGACTTGGACTAATTGGTTTGCCTCTGTCCTATACTAGAAATTCTATGCTTATGCTATTTTTTCAGACCTTTGCCCTAATAAAGGCTTGAGGGAAGCAGATAATGTGTTGAAAAGAGGCTTTTTCCTTTGAGCTTTTTTTCCTTTGAGAAGACCCTAGAGAGTTTGTTAGTATTTCACCAGTGTGAACACCACCAGTGTGGCAGAGCAGGGTCTATGCTGCTGAAATAGTAATAACTCTTTCCTCTTATCCTATGACAACTTTAATATTTCAAGTTATTTGTGGCCTTCAAGTAGAAACCTTGCAACAAGTACCCCACGTTTCTGACTTCAAGAATCCCAGAAGGTAACCTTAATCCCAGAGCTCCAGCTCCTCAGAAAGCATTTGAACCTCGTTGGCATTGATTTGTCTCCAGCAGATATAAGTTGCATTGATCCCACTTCTACTCCATAGAAAAAAAATAGGGACTCTAATATGTAGGTGATACTTCCAGTCATCTCCAGTTCAATCCTTGGATATTGTGAATTTGCTTTGAGTTGAGTTGTTGAACTCATGGGTGCCACCGTTGTGTACAATGGGCAACATGTGAGCGAGGTCTCACTGGGATGTGGCCTTGCATCTTCTAAATGATCCTTGATATATTGAGAGGAGAGGGTATTTGTAGGCTAGGAAGGAGATCACCCCACTGCCGTGCAATGTGGCTGAAAAAACCCCATTCTAACACTACTAACTGCTCTTCAAAATAAGAAAATGAATAAGAGGGGTGAGGTAGTAGCTGACATTTTTGGTATTAAAATGTCTTTCACCCAACTAACCTGTGTTTAGTGTGATAGATGTGTGTGGAGTGAGCTTCTGCCAGATGGGTGCTAAGATTGTGTATGCAAGTTGGCAGACGCAGAAAACCAGAAATGAGAGAAATTAAGGGAATACAGAGGTGTTGTTACGATGCTAAGTGAGGATGTGAAGAACACTTTGTGCTGGGCGTCTGTGTGGTTCTACGATGCAGTCATAACACATTGATTTATTTTTGCTTTATGCATAAAAAATAAAAGAGCTTACCCAGTGGTGCTTTTTGTAGTAGTGCAAAAGGTTATGTTAGATTATTAAAAGAAAACAAAACAAACAAAAAACCCAAAACAACAAAAACCAACAATGAGTTGGAGTAATTTGTGCCTGCTTGCCAGGTTGTAGCCTTTCATGTGAAACCAGGTGTTTAAAAAGAATCTCTCTTCTGTTTTGCCATTAATGGAAAGTTTTCCAAGGTTTTGACTTTTATCTTTGCATTGTTTAAGCTTTGGAATTCTTTGCTTTGCAGCTTGTCAGCAGTTATCTTCTATTCTTTCTCCTTGCTGCTGTGTAATCCTGAGGTTAAGTGTTCAGAATGCTACCAAAGACCTGTGTAATCAAACCTGAACCTGCTCTTCAGGGCAGGGAGAAAGGGCTCCAAGGAGGTGTCTGTGCTGCTAGTCAGATGTCACACTCCTGGGAGAAGAAATTATGCTTGAAAATAGACGTTTATTATTGGAGATAACTGAGTGATAAGTACATCTGTGCTGATATCTCCCATCTTGGTTATTGTGTGAATTATGCTATGTTCATTTATACCTGATCTGAATATTCCTCTTTTATGTATAAAAACATTTTAACGTGGTCTGCACTTAATTTGTCTCTTCCACAGTAATCGTGAGGAGGAGTTGATATGAAAGCAACAATATCCATTTAAAGTTTAATGTGAGCTTCATTCTTGGAAGTTCAGCACACATTGTTTTTCATGAAGGAAATAAAATGTGCCTCTCCCGAGTGGCAGTGAGTGCTGGCATTGAAGTCCAGAGAGTTTTAATTTCCCTCCTTGTTTCTTTTCTATGCTTTCTCAGCCCAAGTGGTAAGAAGTTCCGAAGCAAGCCCCAGCTGGCCCGCTACCTGGGGAGCTCGATGGACCTGAGCACTTTTGACTTCCGCACAGGAAAAATGTTGATGAATAAAATGAACAAGAACAGGCAGAGGATGCGCTATGACTGTTCCAACCAAGCCAAAGTAAGACCAAGATGCAGTGGCAGCTTTCCCCTTTCCATCTGCTGTCATACTGGCCAGACTGCCTCTCAGACCAGCATCTGTGATTGTAGGGGTGGGCCGACAAGGAAGCTGGGGAGGGACTTTTTATAAGGGCAGTTAAGGGGAAATGGCTTTAAACTGAAAGAGGGGAGGTTTAGATTAGATATTAGGAAGAAATTCTTGGCTGTGAGGGTGGTGAGACACCAGCCCAGGTTGCCCAGAGAAGCTGTGACTGCTCCTCCCTGGAAGTGTTGAAGGCCAGGCTGGATGAGGCTTTGAGCAACCTGGTCTAGTGGAAGGTGTCCCTGCTGCTGGCAGGGGGGTTGGGACTGGATGGGCTTTAAGGTCCCTCCCAACCCAAACCATTCTATGATTACCTGAAAATTAAGTGTTTTGTAATTAATGTGTGAAACTGGAGTTGTATGCGATAACATCATCTCTGTTCTGGGGTGTTGAACACATAGTGCAGTTCACTGATGATGCCAGGGGACCGATGCCATGGAAGAATATTGTGGTACTGTTAAATCTTCTGGAGGGAGGGCTGGCATCTTTGTCTCTTCCCCTCCCTGGAGTGTGAGATCACCTTTTCCAACACAATCTCCTCCAGAGCCTCAAACCTCCCGGTGACTCCTGTGGCTGTGCAGCAGCTCTTCTCTGCTCTGGCATTTGGTTTGAGGGAGGAGGGAAGAGTGGCGTGGGGCAACTGGGATGAGGAGGTAACGGAGCCTCCCACAAGCTGCTCCCTGGAGCTGTGCTGGCCACGTGCTGGTATCTTGGCTTTGGAATTGATCCAAGGAGGGGATGCATTTTGGGCAAAAAGTTGAAGAAACAAGAGGATGACAAGGCTTATTTGTAGAACAAAATAGAGACTGTGTTTGGCACCTGGTAATTTTAATTGTTAGGGTTTAGTCAAGGTTAAAGTGATGTTGGTGTACTGCCTGTCTGGATAGATGGGCTCAAGTCATTCTTAAGTACCATCATAGGATGCTAAAAGCTTTTTCAGAATCTAAAAGCTTATGTCTATCCACTCAGCATCAAATGTGGAGAACAGCATAATGCTTATTTTCTAAATATGTCAGCCAGTCAAGAATCATCATCATCAGAGTGATTGGGACATGTACTTACAGCGGTAGGTGCTGTAGTGATACTTTAAAAGAAACATGCCTTGCTGCAGAGAGCAGCAGCTAACACACACCTCAGGCTAAAAATCCTGCCCAAACCTTTCAATAAATGTACCAATAGTTATTATTGGCTTATAAATTAATTAGCACACAGATGATTCAGAATGATATTTGTCCTGAATACATCTTTTCTACATCTCATGAATAAATGTTAAGCAGATGTGGAGTTTGCATCCTCAAGAACAAAGTATGTCCTGCAGCCATTTCAAGACTTGCATGTTAGATCTCAGGAGTGAGGAGCCGTCTTCCTGTGTTTCCACTGACATAAAATGCAGTCGTGTAGTGAAAACTTGATTGTCATGAGCACCCTTTAAAAACAAGTTTTGTTAAGAACTAAAGGTAACAAAAACAATCAAGGTTCCAACTGTATTGATTTGTTTATTGGTGTTCATGACTAGATTTAAACAGAATGGTTTAAACTGGTTTCTGGATTCACAAACCAGTCTCTAAATCCCACATCATATTTTTTCTAATTATTACAAATGTTGTATCAAAATCTTCTGTTTTAATGATCTACAGGTGGCTTGTCAAAGTGCAAACTCAGTGTTCTGACTCCTAAATTCTGTAAAAAAAATTGGGATAAAATCAATGTGTATCAGCTAGAATGAGAGGAGGCTATAACGTTAAGTAGAATGTGAAAGAGTGGAAAACTTAATTTATTTTTGTTAGGTTTAGGGCAAGATTTGAACCTAGTTATGCATTTTTAGCAGTCTAACTCATATAGCTTGAGAGCAGACAAGTTTTCAGGTCCACGAACTCTTCCCTGCTGTACATCTTTATGGCTGTGGTAGCATTTTATCAAACTGAAAATATTTTTGTGGGTTTTCCTCCTCCTTTTGTTTGAAATTTTTAGGGCAAGCCTGATTTGAACACAGCACTGCCTGTCAGACAGACAGCCTCCATATTCAAACAACCTGTCACAAAGATCACAAACCATCCCAGCAATAAGGTGAAGAGTGATCCTCAGAAAGCTGTGGACCAGCCCCGGCAGGTAACGCTTGCAGCTTTGTAGCTTCTTCTCCAAAAATAAGAAACTCTTGGTTTTGCTGCTGGAAGGGTCCCAAAATAAACTGCTTTAATTTTGTGATGCTGAACAAGCAGTCCATGGCAATTTGAGGTCTCTGATGTTTCAGAAACAGTAATTTACAGTGCTCCCAGCTTTTAAAATTGAAACAAAACCGATTTCCAATGTATAGTTAACACGCTGTCTGCACCGTGTTTTATAACTGGACTCCAAGCTTTGTTTAGATTACAATTATGTTGTATTTAGGCCTCAATTTCCTTAATGCTGGAATTAAGTATTATGTACAAATTTAGAGTCTAAACCGCTTTAGGGGACGTTTGCCTTGTAATTAGAATCACTGTCAGGTGTTCCAGTTGTATAAGAACTTTGTGTCTCAAGAAATCCTTGTTTCTGTACAGACCACACACAATGTGGTGTTTGTAGTACAAGAGATTGTAGCCCCTGCATGGGCTTTTTTTTTTTTCAGATGCATATATCAGTAGTAGTAAACTCCACCTGTATGAATAAGGTTGTAAATTCACTTGGAATGTCATTATTAATACAAAATCAAAGTGTTTTTCTTATCATACTGTGTGTTTTCAAACAAAAGAATACACTGGATTGAAGGAAATCTTTCATCTCAATTTCATCTAGTGAAAGGATGTAAAAAGTGTGCTTGGGACAAGTGTGGCTTTGAAGCTGGGCACTGGTAAAAGCTGATGTACCTGTTCAAAGCAGCCCTTGGAAAGTGTTCTCAGTGCATTAATATCACCTAGAGCTGACAGCCTGTTGGCCCTGCAGAGCTCACTGCAGGGATTCAGTGAGTCCTTTCCTGTCGTGAGTTTGGAAACTAGATGTTCAGCTTCATTACCCTGCTCAGTTGCTGTCATCACTATCAGTTATCAGTACGTTTGAAACTCTTGTAAGTCACGTGGAATTCAAAGATATAATTCCAAGAGGGGAAAGTGGTTTCAATGAAATTTAAAAATATCCTGTAAAATACTCAACCTCTCGCACTGAAAGCCTTTTCTACGAACTTAAACTTTTCCAGGCTGAGAGAGTTGGGGCTGTTCAGCCTGGAGAAGAGAAGGCTCCAGGGAGACCTTATAGTGGCCTCCCAGTACCTGAAGGGGCTACAAGAAAGCTGGGGAAGGACTTTTCATAAGGGCAGTTAATGACAAAACAAGGGGAAATGGGTTTAAGCTGAAAGAGGGGAGGTTTAGATGAGATATTAGGAAGAAGTTCTTGGCTGTGAGGGTGGTGAGACACTGGAACAGGTTGCCCAAGGAAGTTGTGGATGCCCCCTCCCTGGAAGTGTTCAAGGCCAGGTTGGATGAGGCTTTGAGCAACCTGGTCTAGTGGAAGGTGTCCCTGCTGCTGGCAGGGGGGTTGGGACTGGATGAGCTTTATGGTCCCTTCCAATCCAAACCATTCTATGATTCTAAAAACTACCTTTCTGAAGTGTGAGTTGGGGTCTGTTTGAAATGGATTTGGGTGGTGTGTCTTTGTGGGGTTTTTTGTTTGTTTGGGTTTGGTTTGGTTTTGTTTGTTTGTTTTTTAAACAGATTGGTGGGGTTTTAGCCTGGTTTCCTAAGGAGGTAGAGCATCAGTGTTTATAGTGTTGCTATTCCTATAAACCCCTTGGCTAGTTAAGACAATAAAAGGACCAGAGGAAATGCCTCAGGTTATACCAGGGGAGGTTTAGATTGGATACTAAGAAAAATTTGTTCTCTGAAAGAGTGGCCAGACATTGGAACAGACTGCCCATGGAAGTGCTGGACTCGCCTTCCCTGGAGGGATTTAAAAGATGAGTAGATGTGGTGCTCAGGGACATGGTTTAGTGGCCATGGTGGTGATGAGTTGACAGTTGGACTGGATGATCTTGGAGATCTTTTCCAACCTTAATGATTCTGTGCGAGAGGACACTAAAGATAAAACACTGATATGCCAGACGCTGAGCTGGACAGAGATTTGTATCCCTGTTGTGGAAGAGATTGACATGTGAGTGCAGACTGATGTGTGGGAGGAATCCATGAGACAGCAGGGATCAGCCCCAGCACACAAAGACGTTGTCATCTGACCAGTGTCATTTGCTGCTCACGTTACTACTCGTTGTAATGCAGCTTCCTAGACTGCTTGTGCTTTCCTTACTGTAATCCTCTTTTTTATGACAATATTGGAGTCTGTTTTCTGAGAAGTTTGTATGTGTACATATAAAAAATAGACTGTATGTATAACACATATATACACATATTGGTTTATGTATTTAATTTTCTATTATATAGCACAGAGTAGGACAGACTTGCTCTTTCTTGTGTCTTTCTCTGCATTATACATCTAAGAGTCTATTAAATTACAGCTTTAAAATATGTTCCAGGACTGCAGTATATTTTAATTTCTGGTCAGCAAACTCCAGATGTTTCTTCAAAACTTGAAAGCAGTGTTAAGTCCCATCATGTGCTGGCTTAAAATTCACCCTTTTGAAAGTCATAGGCTAGAGAATATCCAGCCTGTGTGTTTTGGCTGTGATTGTCCTTATTCCTCTTGTTGGTAACTGGAAAATTGATGTGGGTTCAGTTGCACTCAGATTTTGACAGGCATGAAAGGGGACACGTGTGGACTGTTTGGAGTAAATTCTTACTTTCTCAAAATGTAGATAAAATTGCTTTCTTGCAAGACAAATGGTACTCCAGCCGTTCATTGATCATCCTTGTAGATTGAGAGTTGAAGGTGTATTTAGGTAAAATATCCAATTTCTCACCAAATTCACGTGTCCTTAAGCTTGAGGAGAACCTGTGATTCAAGATCTGGTAAAGAACTAGACATGGTTGTTCTCATGAGAAACTACTAGAGAGGAATAAAATGATGCTTTACCTTGGGAAGAGCTTGGATACAATTCTTGCACCTATTAACTTCTGTGGTGTATGTGAGAGAGCAGGAGAGGAACAGGAGTGTAAAAAAGGCTCTGCCACACTAAGTGTGCTCAGAGGAAAACCAGCAAGCCTTGCTCTTCGAGTTCAGAAGCAGTGAAAGTACAAGTCCCTGGAAGAAAAGAAAGTCTTTTTCAAGGCAGCAAATCAAAATTGTGGGACTGATGAGCACTGAGGATTGTTCCCTGCTGCCAGACATGGCAGACCCCTTCTATGGTAAAACCAGTATAAAATTGGCTGTGGCTGGTTCTGCAGCCTGTTCTTCCCTCTCTTGGTAGCGAGCAGGTGCTTTGTGAAGCTGTCAATTCCATTTCTGTTTTGTGCCAATAAACACTTTCTTTCATGTCAGCTCTTCTGGGAGAAGAAATTAAGTGGACTGAATGCTTTTGACATTGCAGAGGAGCTGGTGAAAACAATGGACCTTCCAAAAGGTTTACAAGGTAATCGGAGTGTGTCCTGAATTCCAGGGGTGGTGGCATTCGATACCTGTCAGTGGTGATCTGGAGGTGGTGGTTGTGTTTGACCTCCGTGTGCTCCTCAGTGCTGTGAACTATTCCTGCTTCTGCAGGAACTGTTAGTGCTCTGGATGGGAGGCTCGGTGCCCTTCCTCCTGAGGGGATAGTGAAGCAAAGCTCCTTGGCTTGTTTCGTTTGTTCATTTTCCAGAAGTAGAATGGAAACAGCTTCCACTCCCAGTTTGGTTGTTTTGGTTTGGGGTGGGGTTTTTTTTTGGTGTTGTATTGGGTCTGCCTGAGATGGAGCTGATTTTTCCCACAGCAGCCCTCATAGTGCTGGGTTTTGTAAAGGTGTTGGTAACACCCCAGTGTTTTGGTTACTGCTGAGCAGTGCTCCCACAACATCAGGGCTGTCTCTCCAACATTCCTCCCCTCACCAGCAGGCTGAGGGTGGGCAAGATCCTGGGAGGGGACACAGCCAGGACAGCTGACCCAAACTGACCAACGGGATCTTCCAGACCATACGACGTCTGCTCAGCAATAAAAGCAAGGAGAAGGGAGGGGGAAGGGGGGGCATTCATTATTTATGACATTTGTACTCCAGAGCAACCACTACACAGACTGAAGCCCTACTTCACAGGAAGCAGCTGGACATCACCTGCTGATGGGAAGAAGAGAATAAGTATTTATTTTTTCCTTTGCTTCCAGGCATGGCCTA